TATATATATATTTGAACATTTCCAAAAAAAAAAGAAATAGAAATGTATGTTCATATGATATATTTCCATCTTGATTTAGATATATGTTCATTCCAAATGGTATATATTTGCATCATATATACAGGATTGTAAAAAAAAACATATAAATTTTCTTATATATATTGACAAACAAAAAACAAATTATTTTAGATATAAACTTTCTACAAAGCACATGAGTATATATCCCTTACGTAATCACAAAATTATATATTTTCGCATATAAAAACAAATAAATAATTAATAGGCTCACTAACAAAGTTTATCTTTTAGCGAATAATTTATTAAAATAGGAAAGGGGCTTTGTCATCACAACTCCCAAATCCCAAAGAAAAGGGTAAAAGAGTTTGAGTTGGGAACAGGAAAGCATGGGGGTATTATAGTAATATACCCAAGTATAACGACTATATGGCCAATCCTGTAAAAGGCAACCCCACGCCGCCGGCACCTGAAGCTGAGTAACCCCAGTTCATCTGTTCCAGATCTGCTCACCCCTCGCCATGAACATCTTCAAGAAGAAGACATCACCCAAAGGTCAGTAACTCAAATCCACTTCATCTTTCTCTTTTACTTTTTTCTTTTCCGAAAATTCCCCCCTAAATGTTTTGCTTCGTTTTACTTCCGCCGTATCCTAATTACGATGTTAACTCTTTAAAGTTCGTCGAATCAAGTGTACATGTTGCTTTCATTGTGAGTTAATTTCTTTATTTCTAGAAAAATGAGAAATGACACAACCTTACCCCATTTGTCAAAACAATTCTAATTGCTAAAAGAGGGAGTACGTATGATGGTGGGCATAACTTTCGGTTTCCACTTTTTCCAGTGATTATTGTTATGGTTCTTCCGAAGACGACTGCTTTATGTTGTAACATTTTGAAGATTTTAAAAAAGGGTTTAAGCAACAATGACCTAATTGCTAATTCGGGTCATAAAGATTCTCTTGTGTTGTGCTTGATAAGTAGTAAAACAGTTTTCTAAAAACAATTGGAAGTTCAGTTTTCCATAAACGAGACGGAGGAAGTACATCTTTTGATTCTTTATCTGTTAGATGATAAATTGCTTCTTTTTTTCGTCAATTTACAGATGCACTGAGGACAAGCAAAAGGGAAATGGTTGTAGCCACATCGGGTAAAGATTATTTCTTCTTATGGTTTGTTTTAGTAAAAATTAAAGTTCTTCTGAACAAATTTTTTGCAATAGAAGGACCAAATTCGGTCAGTAAAACAATGAAGTTATATGCAACTATGTATGTTTTTGGTGTAATGCTTAAAACCTGGAAAAAAAATTCTGTTTCTTAACATCATACAAACACTTGTTTAGAAGATAACATGTACAGTATAATATTCTATTAGAATATTTCACGTATATTTTGAAAAAAACGGTAATTTATTATTATTATTATTAATATTATTATTATTATTATTATTTGGATAAAAAAATGACGAAAATAATATTTAAAAAAAATTTTCAAAAATTTTCATTTATTTTGCATTTAATTTTTTTTATCTCCAACACATAACACGCACATACACGATACATAAAGCACAACACACATAGTTGCATATAACTTCATTGTTATATATGAAAAACCAATTTACCATGTTAAAGTCTATTTGAAAAAATAAAAAAAATGTCTTTTAATAATTTTGTTTCAAAGTATTGGCTTCGGCCCCTTAGATAAAATGTTCCTCCGCCCCTGGGAATACTTGTGTTATTTTATATAAATATTTTTATTTGAGTATTTCATTATATTTTGGATTTGTTAATAAAATTTATAAAAAAAACATAAGCTTCTTGTCCTTATATATATAAGTAAATTATTTAGAAAATAATAAATAATTAATTTCAATAACTTTGATATGAACGGAGATCCCAACAACAATTCTCTTCCTTCATACTAACTAACAAGTGCTTGCATGTTCGCCAATTTTTGTTAAGAAATAGAGACAACTGCTTTTTATAAGTCTTGTTGGCGGCTTCATTTTCAAACAATTTTGTAACTGAACATAAGTACCAAATCATAATCCAAATGAAGTATTTAACTATTCCGAGTTATATAAGCAAACTCTAAATCAAATACTTACATAAAACCAAAACCATAATCTAAATGAAATGTTAAGAATAAGAATTTATTTTTATTTACAAAATCTAAAATCCAAATCAAAGTATTCAAATGTTTATATAACAAAAAGAATCAAAGTATTGATACGACTACTTATATAAAAATTTCAATCCAGTATTAAACTATTAATACTTACATAAAGTAATAAGAATATATACTTTTAATAACAAAATCGAAAATTGAAACTATATATGTATAAAAAAAAGTATTCAAAATACTTATATAAAAATTTACAATCAAGTAAACTGTTAATACTTAAATAAAACTATTAATAATGGCAAATAAAAATCGAAAACAAAGTATTCAAATACCTAAATGAAAATAAAATCATAATCAAAATCAAATGTAAAGAATAAAAATGTAGTTTTATTAACAAAATCTGAAATCCAAATTAAAGTATTTAACTCTAAATACTTATATAAAAAAATCTAATATAAAAGATCCAATAAATACTCAAAATAAATATTAAGTCTTAATACTTACATAAGATGAAAATATTGTCAAATCAAAGTATTAAATTATAAACATTCATAATATATATATATATATATATATATATATATATATATATATATATTATTAGTTATATAAACAAAATCTAAGTCTAATACTTACATAAGATGAAATCTGTCCAAATTAAAGTATTTAACTCTAAATACTTATGTAAAAAAATCTAATATAAAAAAATCCAATAAATATTCAAAATAAATATTAANCATAATACATATATAAAAAATAAAATAAAAATCCAATGATCTATTACTAGTTATATAAACAAAATCTAAGTCTAATACTTACATAAAAACAAAATCAACGAGAATAAGAATATAATACTTAAATAAAAAAACAAAAATCAAATAAAATTATGAATGGAAACAAAACAAATACTTCATAATAAAAAAATCAAATGTGAATAAAATGATATAAATATAGTCTAATTAACAAAATCTAAAATCCAAAAATCTAAAATTCAAATTAAAGTATTTAGCTCTAATACTTATATAAAAAATCAGCTTATATAAAAAAAAATCCCATAAATATTACATAAACAAAATCCAAAATAATTAATACTTACATAAGAAAATAATAATGTAAATCATGTAAGTATTTATAATTTAATAAAACTATAAGAAAATAATAATGTAAAATCATTTAAGTATTTAAAATTAAATAAAAGTTTACTTATTGTATAATTTATTATCTAATATCTATTTATATTTTACGAGATTTTTTATTGATACACATTAAAATAATTAGATGTCTGTATATTTTGCATATTTCGTGTAATTCCCGAATAAAAAATAATATAAAGCAACCATTTTCGTTCTAAAGAGTAAATGATTAACTAACCGATCAATACATGAGACCAAATATAATTATATAACGCTGTGCTACTACGCCACACTACTATAGATTCCAACCCCACCATGGAGACCGATCGGCTTCCCTTAGGAAGAAGTAGTTGGTTGGTAAGAGAGAGCAATGGCAGCAGCATCATTTTGAGCATCTTTTGATGTTTTGAATATGGATGTAAAAGCATAGGTGTAGCCATTGACATTAATTGAAGCTTTAAAACGGGGGTCGTGGTCTTGGCCCATCTTTCTACATGAGTAAATAGGGTATGACCCTCCTTTTTTTTGGCATAACTCGTTCAACTTAGATTTTGTTGGTTTTTGATAGTTTTTGTTGATGCGGAGTACCAGAATAATCTAAATCACATTTTCGAAAAATAAATTATTTAAAGTTCGAAAAATAAAACAAAGACTAATAATGTAATTTTGACTAATGAATGTAATTTTGACTAATGAATGTAATTTTGACAATAAAAGGACATACCATTTCTGAGGTTAAAGAAAGCGACTCCAACAACATCATTTTCAGCTTCTTTAGAAGTTTTGAATATCGAATTCGAACGATAAATAAAATTATTAACCACAATTAAACCTTGGAAACGGGGGTTATAAGCTACACCATACTTCAAGCAATTATACCGAGGATATGACAAATTATGTTGCTGACATAGTTCATTTAGCCTGCATTTGTCCATTGACTGTTTGTCGTTATGACTAAGAGAATATGAGGAAGAGAGAAAAGATGGGAGGGGTGAACAACAACACCCATTTTCCATCATTATACTCTCTTCCTCATATTCTCTTCGTCACAACGACAAACAATCAATGGACAAATACAGACTAAATGAACTATGCCAACAACATAATTTGTCATATCGCCGGTATTATTGTTTGAGGTATGGTGTAGCTCATAACCCGCGTTTCCAAGGTTTAGTTGTGGTTAATAATTTTACTTATCATTCGAATTCGATATTCAAAACTTCTAAAGAAGCTGAAAATGATGCTGCTGGAGTCGCTTTCTTTAACCTCACAAATGGTATGTCCTTTTATTGTCAAAATTACATTCATTAGTCAAAATTACATTATTAGTCTTTGTTTTATTTTTTGAACTGTAAATATATTTTTTTTTTCGAAAATGTGATTTGGACCATTTTGGTACTCCGCATCAACAAAAACTATCAAAAACTAACAAACCTAAGTTGAACGAGTTATGCCAAAAAAAAAAGGATGGTCATACCCTATTTACTATTGTAGAAAGATGAGCCAAGACCACGACCCCCGTTTTAAAGCTTCAGTTAATGTCAATTGACATGGCTACACCTATGCTTCTACATCCATGTTCAAAACATCAAAAGATGCTCAAAATGATGCTGCTGCCATTGCTTTCTCTTACGAACCAACTACTTCTTCTTAAGGGAAGCCGATCGGTCTCCATGGTGGGGTCGGAATCTATCGTAGCGAAGCGTTATATAATTATATTTGGTCCCATGTATTAAATCGTTTAGTTAATCATTTAATCTTCAAAACGAAAATGATTGTATTTAATGTGTATCGATAAAATATGCAAAATATGCAGACATCTAATTATTTTAATGTGTATCAATAAAAAATCTCGTAAAACATAAATAGATATTAGATAATAAAATTATACAATAAGTAAACTTTTATTTAATTTTAAATACTTACATTATTATTTTCTTATAGTTTTATTTAATTTTAAATACTTACATGATTTACATTATTATTTTCTTATGTAAGTATTAATTATTTTGGATTTTTTTATGTAATATTTATTGGATTTTTTTATATAAGTTGATTTTTTTATATAAGTATTAGAGTTAAATATTTATATTTATTCACATTTGATTTTTTATTATTATGAAGTATTTGTTTTATTTTCATTCCTGATTTTATTTGATTTTTGTTTTTTTTATTTAAGTATTAATAGTTGAGTACTTGATTTTATTTAAGTATTATATTCTTATTCTCGTTGATTTTGTTTTTATGTAAGTATTAGACTTAGATTTTGTTTATATAACTAGTAATAGATAATTTGATTTTGATTTTGATTTTTTATATATGTATTATGAATGTTTATAATTTAATACTTTGATTTGACAATATTTTTTTCTTATGTAAGTATTAAGACTTAATATTTATTTTAAATATTTATTGGATTTTTTATATTAGATTCTTTTTATATAAGTATTTAGAGTTAAATACTTTAATTTGAATTTCAGATTTTGTTAATAAAACTATATTTTTATTCTTCACATTTGATTTTGATTATGATTTTGTTTTCATTTAGGTATTTGAATACTTTGTTTTCGATATATAGTTTACTTGATTGTAAATTTTTATATAAGTATTTTGAATACTTTTTTTTATACATATATAGTTTCAAATTTTGTATACATATATAGTTTCAATTTTTATATAAGTATTTTGAATACTTTGTTTTTATACATTTATAGTTTCAATTTTCGATTTTGTTATTAAAAGTAAAGTAAATATTCTTATTACTTTATGTAAGTATTAATAGTTTAATACTTGATTGGAATTTTTATATAACTAGTCGTATCAATATTTTGATTCTATTTTTTATATAAACATTTGAATACTTTGATTTGGATTTTGGATTTTGTAAATAAAAATAAATTCTTATCTTAACATTTCATTTAGATTATGGTTTTGGTTTTATGTAAGTATTTGATTTAGAGTTTGCTTATATTAACTCGGAATAGTTAAATACTTCATTTAGATTATGATTTGGTACTTATGTTCAGTTACGAAATTGTTTGAAAATGAAGCCACCAACAAGACTTATAAGACTTATAAAAAGCAGCTATCTCAATTTCTTAACAAAAATAACACAATTATTCCCAGGGGCGGAACACGAACATTTTATCTAGGGGACGAAGCCAATACTTTGAAACAAAATTATTAAAAGACATTTTTTGGTTTTTTCAAATGGACTTTAACATGGGAAATTGGTTTTAAGAATATATATATTTATCTTTACTATATTATTAAGGATATTGCTCATTTCTTGAAAATTAAGAGGTACAACATATATTACCTCATGTACAATAATATTAAGCATATAACCAATCTTA